TGGATTACTTTTCCACTATCCTTCAAACGGCAAAGCACTACTGCCAACAAATTTGGGGGTACCCATGTTCTAGAGCCAGTTTGGCGTAGTGGTTAAGTGCGCAGACTCTAATCTGGGAGAAGCGGGTTTGATCCCCCACTCCTCAACTTGCACCTGGCTGGATGACCCTGGGCAAGCCGTAGTTCTGATAAGAGCTGTTCTCAAAAAAGAGCAGTTTCTGTCAATAGCTCTCTCAGCCCCACCTACCTAACAGGGTGTCTGTTGTGGGGAGGAGAAAGGAGTTTGTAAGACGCTCTGAGACACCTTTGGGTAGTGAAGGGTGGGGTATAAATCCAATCTCCTCCTCCTCCTCTTCTACTAATTTTCTTGATTTCATCAAAAGGTGTCACCGTGATCATCTATGTTTCCAAATCTTTGCAGGTGATCCCCTGTCTATTAATTCTATACTACCTTTCTCCTGTGTATCAAATAATTCTAGTTGAAATACCGTTGGACTGATACTGGTTGAGTTCATGCGACAGACTTTGAGTATTGATGTCACTTCCACATTGTGATTATTTATCAATTACATTTAAAGGCACAGACAGACTCATAACACTACGTAAGGGAAATGTCATGTTTGGTTAGGTCCTAAACCCAATGCAAGCAGAGTGTCATCATCTCCTCCCTGTGTAGACCTGTCCCTTCCCCCTTTCCACCATCTCTTTAGTTGTCTCTCCCTTCTCTCAAATTTTAAATGTTAAGCTCCTCCAAGCAGCAACTTGCCTCCCTGTACTCTGTAAAGTGCCTTTCACATTGACATTGTGCTATGGACAAACAATGGAAGAGTCTTGGCCACAGCACAGCATCTCCTATAAAGATACCTACTTACGTTATCTGCAGCAAAGAAAATTTTTAAGATCACACTTTCCAAAATTCTTCATTCCTGGTGGGCAACTCCGATAGGAGCATATTCCACCTTCCCTGCCACACTCAGCCGTGGTCTTTGGCCCCTGAGCAAATGCTGTAGAGGCAAAAAGAAAAGAGAATTATATTCACACACCAAATATCCACCATTCTCGCTAGATTTTCTTCTAACCTTGGAAAACATCAGAAAATCGGGCCCCGCAGCTTAATTTCATTAGGGCTACCTATTCCCCCAGAAGTCTCCAGCCAGCCAGAGTTTTGCTCAGGAGTTTACCTGGAGCAGCCAGCACGATGAAGAAGAGAAATGCCGAGAGAAAGGAAAAGATCTTCATGACTGCAAGGTTGGATGGTGCCTCAGTGGATGCCGGAATGGAGAGATGACCGGAGTCCTTGTACTTATAGGAAAGAAGGGATCGAGTCACACCCGAATGTGGACATCTTCGGGCCCCTAGAAGGAAACAGTGTATTGAGATAAGATAGTGGAAATATTATGCAAATAAAGCCCAGTTGATTGGGAAAGGCCATCTCATTCCAGCTAGCAAGGATTTCATGCAAATCGGCTCTTCCTCATTGAGAGCAAAGAGGGGAACCACCCGCTCTTGTGACAGATACATTATGTGCATTTAGTCCATAATTAAAGTGTGGAGCTCGATATGAGCGAAGGCTTGCGAGACCTTAGCCCCATAACTTGTTTTCAATATTATTCCTGGCTGTGTAATTTTAAAAGTCTTACTGGGCAGGTGCCAAATACTTTCCTATTAGCGCTGTGTAATTGTTGTTGTCAAACCCAACCCCTAAAAAGGGTACAGAGTCCCAGGAAAGCAGTATGGGCTTCTTGGCAGGAGCCTGTGTTGTGTCACCTTTGATCTCACGTGTCAGTCAGTTGGGGTCAGTCACCAGAGGTTGCTACGACTTCCCGGTGTGGCCATGCGCTCAGACGCGCAGACACACACTCACACGCAGAATTTAGAAGAATTTTTATTGTTACGGCACCTAGCCAGCAATACACACTCACACGCAAATACACATAAATGTACATATGGGGAAACTAACCAAATACATCAAAATCCTCAAATCTGGACATTAAAATTTGTTGCATGAACTCAGCCAGTATCAGTCCAATGGTATTTCAACTAGAATTATTTGATACACAGGAGAAAGGAAGTATAGAATTAATAGACAGGAAACATAGATGATCACGCTGATGCCTTTTGATGAAATCAAGATAATTAGTAGAAGAAGAAGAGACTGGATTTATACCCCACCCTTCACTACCCAAAGGTGTCTCAGAGCAGCTTACAAACTCCTTTCCCTCCCCCTCCCCACAACAGACACCCTGTGAGGTAGGTGGGGCTGAGAGAGCCCTGACAGAAACTGCTCTTTTTTCAAGAACATCTCTTATCAGAACTACGGCTTGCCCAAGGTCATCCAGCCAGGTGCTAGTGGAGGAGTGGGGAATCAAACCCGGTTCTCCCAGATGAGAGTCCGCGCACTTAACCACTACGCCAAACTGGCTCTAGAACATGGGTACCCCCAAATTTGTTGGCAGTAGTGCTTTGCCGTTTGAAGGATAGTGGAAAAGTAATCCAAATACTTACTTCCAAATAGCTGGGAAAGATATGTCAGTGGAAAACCAGAGGTCTCAAAATGTACCTTTCATGTATCAGGTTGGAAGCCACATGCTAAGAGAGAGGTTAGGTGATTCTTCCAATTCTCCCTTCCTGCTGCAGTCCAAAATACCCCTCAAAATGCTGGTCTTGGGAGGCAGAGACCCCCCCAGAATAGTTTAGGAGAGACTGGAGGTCTGGAGGGAAGGGTGAGGATTGTCACTAATCCTCCCCCCCTCCTTGTACCTGCAGAAATCTAGGCAGCTTCCAGGCCATCATCTGCTCAATAAATTCTGATGAATAATGGGTCTTTAAAAATTGGTTGCATTGAACATAAGGAAATGAGAATAACCAGTAGTTGTCTATTTGATCATGTTCTAAGATGTATAGCATTTATACAAGGCGGTGAAATTTGTTACAGAAAGAACCCATTGAGTTCATCAGAAGCTATGCAAAGAACAAGTTGGGTCCCATAAATGTCCTCAAGGTGGGGGAGATGAATAACTGGGAAATTTCCCTTCTGCACACCTCTCACCCTCCAGGATGAGACTGATGAGCTCGAGCCATTGAATATGCTCCTTCCCATTTTCCTGGTTCCCAATAGCCTTCCTCTTCTGCGTTTCCCAGAGGAGAATCAGGATGTTCAGACCTTATCCATCTTTTCAGGCATTTGAAACATTACAAATCATGGGCCGGATCCGGCCAGCTTTTTCACTCCACGGGACTCACGTGATTCCCCAGTAGGGTTTTTTTTGTTTATTTATTTATTTTGGTGGCTAGAGGAGAGTCTTCATATCTTTCTCTCCGCACACAAAGCGGGTTGAATCCAACATGATGGTTTTCTGCATATCTGGGGCATGTTCCCCCCCCCCCCCGCAATTCCTACCGATGTTCCCCACACTATTAGAAGGAGGGATGACCCAGATGACTGTGTATGGCTGACCTTAACAAAAAAGTCATATAAATATTCACACATGCATTTAAAAGTGAATGTGAAACTCTTTTCTCTCTGCAACAGATGATGCTCGAGTGCTGGCTACCAGCAGCGGCTCCCCAGGGTCCATTGACGGGAGGTGCATTCAAGGACCCAGCTCTTCCTTTGTCCGAAACCCTTCAGGGATCTTTTTGGGCCAAAGCCCTCCGGAGCGCTGCTCCGGCAGCCCACGTGGCGGCAAGCCCCGCCCCCAGGTTCCCCGAACCCACGCAGGAGCGCCGCTGGGTCTCCCCTGCAGCCCAGCTGGCTGGCTGGCTGGGGCAGGAGGCAATGCTCTCTGGGCCTCCCCCAGCCACTTCGCTCCCGCATGGGCTTGGGGACCTGGGGGCAAGGCTCTCCGGGCCTCCCCCAGCCGCTGCGCTCCCACGTGGGCTGATAGATCTGGGGGCAGGGCTCTCTGGGCCTCCCCCAGCCGCAGCGCTCCCGCGCAGGCTGGAAGACCCAGGAGGCAATGCTCTCTGGGCCTCTCCCAGCCACTTCGCTCCCGCATGGGCTTGGGGACCTGGGGGCAAGGCTCTCCGGGCCTCCCCCAGCCGCTGCGCTCCCGCGCGGGCTGGAGAATCCAGAGGTGAAGTTCTCCGGGCCTCCTCCCGGGTTTACCAGCCCGCACAGGAGCGCTGCGGCTGGGGGAGGCCCAGAGAGCCCCGCCCCTGGGTCTTCCAGCCCGCACGGGAGAGCAGCGGCTGGGCGCTTCCTGCCTCCCTGCCTCCTGCCCCAGCCAGCCAGCCAGCTGGGCTGCAGGGGAGACCCAGCATGTCAGAGGAGCCCCTGTTGGCCCGGGGGGGGGTGGCGGCCAGAGTGACGTGGACCATGCACGTGGAGGACAAAGTGACGCTGGTGACTGGGGCAGCCCAGGGTAGTGGCAACGCTTGCACCCAGGCGCTGCTGGAGAAGGACTGCAAGGTAAGGACGGGCGAGCGCGCGCGGGTTTTGTTCCTCATAGTGTTAGGAGCAACTTCGCACCATACCATTCTGTCTGCTCGGGCTGCACTTGGAACGACAGGACCAAAGTGGTGTGGATTGGCATAGTTGCGCAGGAAGGCTCAGTTCTGTACCAGTGAGGTGCTTTTTCTGGCTCTCTCCCAGAGGGGGGGGGGACCAGCCGAACCTGGCCGGCTCAATGGAGCTGCTTGGCCCGCCAGCCGTCACTGATGTCACAATCCAGGCGCGGCTGACGTACGGCTGCTCGAATCGAGGCTAATCGGCATGCGTCTACTCAGAAGGGAAAGGTCTCCCCAGGCCACGGGGCTTACTCCCGAGGAAGCCTGCGTGGAACTGCGGCCTGAATGGCTCCAGAGAAAGGGGGTTGTCTGCAGCTGCAGCCTGAGGAACGGAAAGGCACTCTCCAACTAGTATTAACAAGCATTTATTTGAGGGTCTTTCCTTCCATCTTTCCTCCTGTGGCCCAACTCTAGTGAGAAGGGTTTTAAGTTTAAACCCCTTCTCTCTTCACTCCTCCCCCAAGAGAAGGGGAGGGGAGGCTTTTGAAGATGCCTCCCCCCTTTTGCTTCCCCTTCTGCCACCACTTCCAGTGATGTCAGGGGGCGTGGCATATGCTAATAGCCCAGCAGCTCATTAGCATACCATATGCTAATGAGCTCCTGCAGCTCTTTTTCTACGAAAAGACCCCTGCTCTTCCTGAATTATAACCCAGATGATATCATCCGTATCAACCTGAAGGTTGACAAGGGTTCAAAAGAACGACAGGACACAAACGCTGCTTAAGGTGTCTGAAGTTTTTCACTCCGCAGCGCTTTATATTAAGCACTTTAGTTTCCCCCGTTTTCTGCCCCTTCTCCCTCCCTCCTCCCCTTTACAAGCATACTATGGAATGTGTTGATGCCGAAAGCTCAGCTCCTTATCTCTTCTGTCCTTTTGCCAAGGTAGCTTCTCAGGATCAACTCAGCACATCAGCAGATGTTTTCGCCTTGTGCAATTAGCCTGACACCTGGGTTCCCAACCTCCCTGCAGGAACAACGTTAAAACTCCCCGAGCCTGCCTCTCAGAAATGTACGTTGTTCCTACATCAACCTGTCTTTTTGTCCTCGCTAACAAGAATAAAAAATAAAGCATTTCTGAGTGCCTGAAACTAGAACTGTGTCTCTGTGATTTGGAGTCAAGGATGGTGTGGCAGATCCTTCAGACATGCATTGTATAAATTCCATATTCTGTGCCAATTCCCCTCTTTGTGTTTATGTGTATGTGTGTGTGTGAAACACAACTTTTAGGTATATTGTTCTACCCTGGGGGAAGCCAAATTTGATTAGCTGCCTCAGGTCCCAAGGTACTAGAGTCCAATGAGTTATTCCTCCATTTCCCCACAAAGATCCTATACTTTTTTCTCTCTCTATCAGTACCAGAATATATTAGAGGAATGACAGTTTGCCCTAAAATCTCCATTTTAAAATTCTTAAAAGCTTCTTCCAGTTAAGAACTTTGAGCTCTTCCTGGCCAAATTGCCTTCTAGAGGAAGCCTTGTGGGTCTTGGTTGTTAAAACAATAGAGTTCCAGATCTCTGAACCTTCTCTTCACACTTTAGTAAGGGAGGGTCAAGACTGGCTTTTATGTAAGTAAAAAACAGGACGGCCATATTGCCTGGTTGGTCAGATTTAACTTGAAATCTGGGTATCTCAACGGATGCCTGTTTATTTATTTTCTTATTTGATTTATACCCCGCCTTCCTTGCCACGGCAGGCCTCAGGGCAGCTTACGCAAGATAGCAATGAATAAAACAACAATGTAATTATCAATATAAAAGACACAACATAGTTATTG